TTTCAGAAAAAGTATAAAAATTGGGGGAAAGTTAAATTGTGAACCAACAATAGAAAACAATAAGCAACATATTTCGCAGTATTAATGAGCAAAAACTGCCTTCTGAGATATTGATTTTCCATAGTAATCGGCCCCAAAACTTCCTGAACTCAGAAAAGCGACACTAAGATATCCGGTACCTAATATTTTAGGTTGTCCCAAAAGTTCGTGCCACTTTCAAATTTTTTTTGAGTTAACGTTATCTCAACAAAAAGCAATATCCATCATCAATATATGGACCGTCGCTATCAGTGACTTGTTGCCAACGATCCACCAGAGTGTCGACGCCGTGCTCCCAGAAGGTCGGCAGTTTCAAGCTGGAAAAGGCAGTGAGGTCGATTTCGAGCTCCTTTTTTGAATCGTATTTTTTGTCCGTAAGATGATTCCTTAGCAAGAAGAATAGTTGGCCTTTGGAAGGAGGCTGATCACCGCTGCATGATGGATCTGGATAGCACTTCTCAAGTAAGCTTCGAAATCCAGAGCCGTGCCTATTTAGAAACACGTGGTCTCTGTTGTTGTGGGCGGACATACTTTTGAACTTTGAGCGCAATAGTTGGAATTGTCTAGCCAGCTCCGAGCGTGATTGAAGGATTGTTGGGCTGTCTCAAGGCCGAGCTGGGAGAAAAAATCGCCCAGTGGCCGATTTGAGATCTTGGCTTCCCCTAACGTGAACCACATTAACGTTTTGCTAGTACTGTGACAGTTTTTCAGCCACGCTTTCTGATGCGACCAAGGCACTGATGGCGTTTGCAGGTAGGTTAGCATCCCAGCTTTTCATTGTCGGTGAGCGTCCTGTTCACTCCAGACTTTCGCCTTTGAGTATCGGAGGCACTCGTGCGACTATGCTACGCATTGTCCAGAGAACCTCCATGCTCATTCATGCAGCGTCGATCCGAGCCTTCACCGCCCGGTTCACACTACCGCTAGCTACCAGATCGCTCGCCAGGTAGCGAAAATCCTCCCTTCTTTCGATGGCTTCGCCAAGGCCTGCTTGACCGTTCAGCGAAATGTAGAAAATTCCCGTTCCATCGGGGTGATGAAATGAGGTCAGGGTTAGTACGCAGATATACACTAAACATCACACACTGAACTAATACAGTCCCAATTTGACCAAAGCAATTCTTCGGGTTTTAGCCAGCCTGCGTTGCTCAAATTCCAAAATTTTTACGACCCTCCCCTCTCCTGTATTAGCTACTGTGTTAGGTTTATGTCCTTTTACATATTTCTATGCCCATCATCGATGTATGGGCCTTTCATCAACATGGAAAGAAGTGTTGCGCAGTGGGAAGTCCGCCCTTCTTTGCGCTCAGAGGATGGATAATCGAGGCAACATGAAATATTTACTTTATTAAATAGAAATTTCGCAATTTTTTTTCGCATGATATCAGGCATGGTTGTGATCGCAGAGACTTCTACATTCAGAAAACCACCAAGTTTTTTTTTCGAACTTACAAAGTCACCTTTTTTGTAACTCAAAAACTAAACCTTAGCAAGTAATCGCGTTCCGATACAAATCTCTTCATTTGAAAGGGTATAATGTATGCTATTGCAAACGGACCTCATGGAACGGGATCGCAAAAAGTTCAAAAGTCAAATTTATTTTCTTCCCAAAAAGTAGCTGAGCTATTGTGAATGTTTCATTCTCCAAAAAACTCGTCCCGTTGTTCCGTTTCTTGTGTACACGCGAGTTTTTGACATTCAAACATTCAGCTTCCTTTATAATCAACTTTTTGCAGTTGTTCAATAGAGCTAATATAGAAAGCCAGAAGATTAGCGCTTTCGAAATAGTGGTGGAAATTTCTTTCAAAAAATCACTCTTTCAAAAAATAGTCCCGTTGTTCCGTTTTTTTCCTTTCAAGCCATCTTCCTGGAACGCGACTTTGTAATCCTCGAACGTCCATAATTCTTCGAAATTCAAGAATATAATGAGAAGCGGTAAAAGGTATGTGCAAAAATTAAAGTGAAGAGTGCTTTGAACACCGTCCAGCAAAATTTCCTTAAGAAGCTTTCCTTGTGCTCAGGATTGGTGCTAAAGTCGTCTAGAATGAAATTCATTCAAGTTCTTAGTTAGGTTGCTTCATAATCAAAATCATTTTGGGTATTTTTGAAATTGAATTTTTTTTTTTTATGTGAAGTCTTTGCTTATCCAGACATACGCCTCTGTCATCTACAACGTCTTGCCCATTCATTCGCTGTCGTTCTCTCGAACGGTGGAAGTCTTGGAACCAAGGACAGACTGTAAAAGTCGGATTATTAGGTCGAATCACTTAGCGTAAAATTTCGTTCTCAGGAAGAGCGCTAGAGGCTCAGACTGAGTTGTCTTTTGTTGACACGAGGATAGGGCCACATATAGGAGGTGAAAGAAGTGCTAGCCCGGAAGTCTCCAATTTTTATGAATATTCTCCGCAAGGTGGGGTCGAACGACCTCAGGAAAAAAGCAGACTTTGTCTTGTTCTACTCGAAGGGAGCGACTCGAAGGAGGTTCGGCTTTTGCTGTCAGAACTCCCGAATCGTTCATGCTAGGCTACTGCTTTTTGGAGATTTGCTAGTACACTCCACCCAGTCCAGAACCCTGGTGAATATGCTGGATGATCACTGTAAGGAACTAAGGGAGATCAGAAGGAACATGATGATGTCAGATCGTGTGTGGAGCTGTTTCGGGCTCAGAGCATACAAGATACAAACTAAATATTTAAAATCTTTACAACTCTACGTAGATGTCTACATTCCATCATTTTAACAAGTCGGACATGCTCTAGCAAATGGCGACTAGTTTGTCCACCCTCAGTGGCGCTGGGTACAGCAGTGAGATTGCCAGTTGAGGGGTAGTTGGAGTGTGGGTCATCTTCAACTAAAAAAGCCAACCTCTCGATAGAGTGAACTACAAGCAGACCGTGGATTGAGGGAGCGTGCCCTCGCCTATCTGCTGGATTCTCTATGTTGTTGGGCGTTTGAAAGATCCTAATCAGAAGTGATTAAGAAGGGAGCTCAAAAATAGGTTCCAGAAAAATTGAAATATCAGCCACGGAAGGCAGCATGTAAATGGGCTGAGTAATTGCTCAGGTAGGATAATGTGGATGCTACTTCGCAAAACATGTTTCACGCCTTCACCATTTTTCTTGGATTTTTTATAGCAATAAATGTAAAGTGATTCACTAATTATGGGACAACCTAATACATGATCAAGAATTTTTGCAGCTTGATCATACTGATTAAAGTGAGCCGCACCTATGGTTGCGATATAGAAGACAGGTAATGTATCAGCGACTTGGTTGTTCAGAGAAGCGAAATTTAAGCAGTTGCCCACATCTCGAGATCTTCCGTCGGAGTTCTCAGGCTAACAGGGATCAGTGCTCAGGAAAAGCGTCAGCGGTCAGATTTAGAGCTAATCGTCTGCTGTCCGGAGCAAAAATTCAAAGATTGTCATGCCAACAATGTAGCTGGAGAGCAAAAGTGTAATATATGTTCTGGATTATGGAAGCGCCACGCATTCCATTCCTATTGATTACCATGAAGACATTCCACAATATACGTGCCTGTACCTCACCTCATGGACAGTAGTTGATGATGAGTGTTCACTGCACTTTGCGGTTAATATCCACGTACTGAGCTCGGCCTCAATTCATCATGCTGATGAAACGGCAAACTTGTTGATTTTGGTGAAGTTCCACGCACAGGCTGTGACCATCCCTGGAGCTCCACAACGCCTGGAAAACATAGTTTCTCTGATAGCCTGTCCCTGTGATAAAAATAGGATCTGGGAGGTATAGTGGCAAATGGGGCGTTTCCAATGCACATAGTTTACGATCAAATTTCAGATCGAATTCTGTACAAAAACAAGCATCCCATCTCACCACAGTGAGCTAATTGTTTGCACAGTCCCCGACATGCATCTTATGCAGGTTATTTGACCCTTCGACAACGATGCGGATTTGCACGCATTGGGCTCATGGAAACACTCTTTTTGGCGCGCCCTAGTGGCGCTGTACCTTGAACAAAATTGTTACCAAAAGCAGTTTTCCATCAATTCTTGACCATAGAGGTAAATAACATAACCACATACTTAAACTTTCATCTTACATATTTTTGGAAAGTGAATTAAGAGTTTGGAAGGTGACATGGATGGAGGGTAAAAACTCTTAAATTCGTGTGTACAATAGAATTTTTGATCAAGTTCAAACTTTTTTTTTGTGTCTGAAAGGCCTATGTGAATAGTACGAAGGAGTCCTGATCAGTATTTTATCTTCAGCCTCATAATGGAAAACAAAAATTAATATGCAGGAAAGCTAAATACCGCATTCAAAAATTTCATATAAAGCAGTTTTCATTGAATATTTCTGTGAACCTTGTGTGAGATTTTATCTTTCAGCGCCTAGCAGCCCCCCCTCCAAGAAATGCTCTGATGAGATTTGGACCTATCAATTTAATTCGCTCCTCTTCGAGGTAATAGACGCATTGACCTCGGCCTTATTTCATCACTTTGGTGAAACAGCGACTTTTCTGAAGTTGCGTACCAGATTGATGTTGTGATCCTTTTGATCCCGTGAAATCGTGCGGAGAGCCCATTTGGTCCTTCTGGACCACGTGTCCAACTGCGCACAAGGCATATTTCCAACGTACGATTTGCAACAACAGAAACAGACTGTCACATTCAAAACATCCGATACAAGAAGAAGAACTACAAAAATTGAGGCTACCTGTACGTCTCAAAATTACGGAAACATTTTTCATCTTGAATCTGCAAACAATGCAGCGTAAAGCGTTCCGCCTGCGAAGACCGAGACACGCTTTCGACCTCGACGCTCACAGAAAATTGGACATTCAACTGTTCAGCACGTTAGGGCCATTGATAATTTTGCAACAGGAAGTTTAAACCCACCACAAACATGGGCGCCAGCAGGTACCGCTATGAAATGACGATCCACTTCCCTAGAAAGCGCTTGAAATTCACGTTCGTACCTACAATCATTTTCGCTTGAAACTTCTTCAGGGCTGATCACCGTAATTGGGACGCGGAACGGGGGACCTAAGTCGTGGTTGTCCTCACACAGTCCCACAATCTGAAAATAATAGAAAAAAATATACGACGATAACAAAAGAACAAAATATAACGGTCACAAGATACGGACTCCATGACTACGTCTGGGAGGGCAGGAATCCGCGGAAAATGAAAAATTTCCAGAGGATTAGTCCCGATTTTCACAGAAAGGATGCCTGACCCATACCTAAACTCACTGCCACCACGATGCCCGTAATCTTGCGTATAGCACGATGGAATGTAATTTGAACGCAGGCATTTTACGGATTTTCAAATGTCCTATGATCACTAAACCTGTGTATATCATCGCACGTTATAAACAAACTACTACACTTGATGCAGTTACCTAGGAAATCCTAACGCACCTTTCTAAATGCTTCCCTCCGCATAGTACCACCGTCCCCATCTCCCTCCCACCTCCATGACCGTTGAAATAGGTCCGAATTACATATTTCTTCAGCCATTATATCTCTGTGCCTTATATTCCTATCCTATAAGTTTAATTCGTAACATGTAAATTCTATCATTTATCGTCCATATATTTTATTTTATTTTATCAAATTTTCTATTGCTTATACTATTGTCATTCTGTACTTCAATAATTACATATGTATTCCTGTACTCCAATTGTAAACAATAGCCGAATAAATAAAATAAAAATGCTACTGTCAGAACCAAAGGTGAAGAAAAACCCTGCTTATTACTACGCACAATACTTACACATGCAAATCACAAATGAATTTTCTGGAAATTCCAACAAATTATGGAATATATTTTACGTTTTGATAAGCAGAAGAAGCGATTACGAACACTTAAAGGAGGAATTCACGATTAGAATGAAGGTCGAAGAAAGGGAAACTGACCTAGTTGAGGGACCCACGGACCTCCTGAGGGTGCGAACTGACGCGCAATTCGCATGGAAAAATTTGACCTCGGCGACCTATCATGCCTCAAAGCTGGCGGGTCCGGCGATCTCCGCCCACCGATCATCTGATCACTCGCCGTAGTTCAATACGTGGCGAGTGATTAGATAGCTGAGAGAGCGTAGTGTTGAAGAGGGCACAGCGATGAGAGTCGCATCAATGCAAATCAACGGGGAAGGGGTACCATTTCTCGGGTTCTGGGCCGTTTCTCATGGTTCTTCCTTCTTTCGTGTACCACTCACCATCCCTAGGTTAATTTGAAATGGGTTGCTTTTTCATCGTGAATTCGTCCTTTAAGTTACCTAACCGAGAAGGAAGCGAGGTGTGGCGCTTTCACGAGAACGCTGCGGTGGTCGCTTAACAGCGCATAAAAAGCGTTTCATTCACTAGCTCAGTTGTTGGTGATTAGACGAGCTGGGTTGCAAGCAGCGGCACAGCTGAAGGGTCAACTGGAACAGTTTGACATGATGCCACCAAACGTTGCGGTAAACTCGTCTATACGACGAGTTTACCGCAACGTTTAGTGGCATCATGTCTCAGCTGTGCCAACCCTTACACGAATATCAACTGCCAAACATGGGGACCAATTTGCGTTTTTTGAAGGTTTTTTGACTGCTTTCGCCACTGTGTACCACTGACATTCCAACGTTCCCTCCAAGCCCCCCCCCCCCCCGAGAACTATCGTAATCTCTGTCTTTAACCACAAAAATCGAAGTAAAACATTGAATATTGCAGTAAGTGTTGATCAAAAGATACGCACCTCGTGTAAGCAAATTCTCCACGCGAAAAAGCTGCTGGATCGACTTTCACGACAAAGTGACCTTCTCCAGCAGTTAACAAAAACGTACGAGGAAACTCCAACAATTCGCCTTCAGATTGCAGTGAAATTTCCATGGCGAGATCAAACGTGCCGGTATTGTCTGGAATTGATGACTTCACCTGAACTTACATGATGTCTGAAAATAATCTGTAAGTAACCCGAAATTCTTTGAATATAGATTGAACACCCGATCCGTTGGATGATGAAAAAATTCTAACCTGGACTAGACCGTAACCTCCACCAAATGCTTCTTCGTTCACACTTCCAGCAGCAGTGTTCTCCAACGCGAGGCGAACCCGATATGGTGTCCGCTGAATATTTTCAGAGCGCAGTTTGGAGAGCATGCAAGCTGGAACAGAATTAGAGATGGAAATACATCGGGAAATGGTGTTATTACCCACTTCGTGCGACAGTCATTAGGCGGAAGAATTCATTCTGGCCAACCCTTCCGGCGTTTTCAAACGCCTAAACGTGGCTCAAAGCTTGGGAGTAAGCTCAACCGTCCGTTGTTAATATTCTGAAAAGTTGGCGGCCCCGTCGTGGGCGGGGAGAGGGTGTCGATACGACCTCCTCACCTCCCACCCACGTCTGCCACTCTCACCATCATGACTCTTCTTACAGTACTTGATTATGACAAGTCAACACGCTTCAACTCCGACCACTTTGACCTCCAAAATGGTCGTCAGGGGGGGGGGAGGTAAATATATCTAATGAAGCGGCAAATCCACTTTCATGCATCTCCATAGAGTTCCTTCGAAATCGTTAAAACTTTGCCCAGAACAACTTCCCTCACCACGATTCTCTCAACTTCCAAGCATACGACCCCCTTCTAAACTTGTACCTTTACCAACCTCAAGTACGCCCCACCCCGCCCCTCCTGAACACAAATACCCCAACTGTTGAGAACTGTGCAACCCCGGGTAACCTTGCTTGGGAGAGGACACTACCTGTCAAACGCCTCCTCCCTTAACCGTTTTTGACGTCTCGGAAACGCACTGAAAATATCCAGAACTCAGAAGATAAGCTCACCCTTCCAACTCAAAGTTTAACCGAGCGATACACTCATCAGCATATCAGGAGCGGATGAATTATTCTACTGCTCTTACCAGTTTTAGGGCTGCTTTGTAACTTCAACACAGTCACAATACTATGACAGTCGAACGTTGATCAGAATAAATTCTTCCACCTAAAAATCTCGTGGCTGCACAACAACACGTAAAGAAAATGCCGAGGTTCCAAGATGAGAAGACTTGTAACCATGAAGTTTTGACTCATAAGGTACCTATCGCTCCCGTTGTGTTCGGAGAGCTCGTGTTGGTTCCATTCATCATTTCCGCTGATTTACGGGTATACCGGGGCACGCCGGCAATGGCAGCTCCTGGAGCATACAGCGACACACCCAGTGCTACGTCGATCCTGGAAATGCAACCCAATCTCAACCTTCACACGAATACGAACTTTCACAACAAAAAGATAAAAACGAACGAATGGGCCACGAGAGCTCCACGGGTACAGCGAAGACGTCACGTCTCTGAAGACACCATAAAGAGTGGCTGCTTGTTTAGGGGAGATTCGGGCAGCAATTCCTGACAAACTATGTATTGTACAGAAAAGAGAGCAGAAAAAACAAGCTAGATAAAACAGCCAAGAAATCAATGAAATATATACCAAGAACTCCAGAAGTTGTACCACCTGGCGAGCCGACGGTCGAAAGAGCTGGACCATTATTGCCCGCGGAAGATACGAAAACAATGTTATGCTCTTCTATGATTCTTCTTCAGTTCGTCGATAACACGTCTAAATAAACCAAAATCTCAGGCATTCAGAGAAATTGAGATCTGATGCGTTGAGCAAACTGGAGTGACAGGTCGTATGAAAGAGTGTAAGGATGTTGTCCCCCGAGTGTTAGAAAACTACGGACTACCCTCTTGCTACACGATAGGACATTTTAGAAAAGAACTTATTAGCAAACAAAACCAACCATATGACGATGCGATGGGTATCGGCTCTAGCGGCGGCAGCAGGGCGACTGGTTGTCTCCACAAGTCGAGGCGATCCACAAGTTGAGGCGATCGGTCTGGCAACTGGTGAGGCGACTGCTCCGGGGCGACTGGTTGACGCGACTTCTTTCAGCGATACTGATGGAGACCACTCGTTGTGGTATCGGGGCAACGTGGAGATGATGTGGATATGACGTGGATCGACGTGAAGACGACGGTCGAGGAGGTGACGTGGATGTTCCAACCTGGAAGAACCGGTTGAGATTTTGACCTGGAGGTGACGGTTAAGGGACCATGGGGTACGGCGATCAACCGTGATCACCCGCGTAACGCACCCTTTCGCGGGTGGTCTTGCGGCCGGTCCCTACTACTAGGATCTGCGTTTGGGCAGTCGCTCGCCAATGACCCCTTTCTGTCCCTCTTCAACAAGAACAACAACTTGGAATCGTAGGATTTGCCTTGTAACGTTTCATTTTTATACGGCCAAATATTAGTGTATATGCGTG